CTTAAAAGTCCCTTGGGATCTTTTGCTTCCATGATTTCTGATTTGATTATTAGATGAATGTATGAATTGATTGGGATGTTAGCATTGTTATCAGGCGAGAGTAATTGTCCCGTGTGATCATGTGCGTAAAATTTCTTCATCCATGAATTGAATAGGAGTGTTAGAGTGATTCAAGTGTGAGGATTTAGTTTCTATTGATTGCATTGCAAGATATTTGTGTTTAGAACTAAATTTTGTCATTGTTTGATTCTAGAAAGTGTTGAACATTGCTTGTGCGTATTCATATGTTGAATTTGAATCGTTAATCCTCTCTTGGTGAATTTTATGCTTGAGCAAATCGTCTTGTTTTTATGAGAGGCATACTTTGCTTGAGGACTAGCAAATATCTAAGTTAAGAAGAGTTTGTTGAATGCCAAATATGTCTTAAAATGAACTATTTTACTTAGCATTTTTCAACTCTTTATTTGTGTTTTAGAAGTTCAAGCCCATAATAATGTGTGAATTTTCATTATAGTTTCATTAGCCTTTGGATTTCTTTATTTGTGTGTTAGTGCGCAGAAATTAGACATGAAAATCAATGAAAGAGATACAAAATAATAGAAAAGGAAGTCAAAGCAAAGAATACTTGTTTCAGCAAGCTCGTTGTGCGAGATGAAGGCGATAGGAAAGCGAGCTCGTTGTGTAAGCTCTAGCAAAGGGAAAGCGAGGCAAAACAGAGAGATGACAATATCTAAATTGTGTCGTGGTCGTAGTGCGAGCATGGAGCAAACTAGCTCGTTGTGCGGGCTAAGATATTTTCCTGAAGGGCGGTTTAAGTTTCTGAGGTACTTGAAGTGCATAAAAGTGGACCTCCCTGTGCAAGCTAGCGCAGACTTAAAAAGATACTATGTACTTTTTTTTTGCTTTTTAGATCATTATTCTTATACACAACATTTCCTTTAAGCACAAAATCATTTCTTCATCTAAGAGGTGATCTTCATTAAATTGGAGCTGGATTCACATCCATTTTCAATTCTTCAACTTGGATGCTTATTCATCTCCTTCCATTCCTTTTAAAGCGAGCTACCATAGTTACGGGTAGCTAAATCCCTTATATCAAGGATAAATCTAATCTTCCTTAACTTGCACGTATTTTCTTTGATCTTTTGTGTGTTAACAAAGTTTATGATCTGTGTATGATGAATATCTTTACTCTTAATGTTATACATTTGATTTGAATCACTATTGAAAGGTATTTTTCAAACCTTAACCTAAGTTATTCATCTATCGATGAACAAACTCTATACATAGATTTGTGAGTTGATATTCACTTTGTATCAAGCTTTAACATTATCGTGTTGATTGTTAGCATGAGACACCATCTAGTAATTAATACGATAATATTCACGAAATCACTTTAGAGATAAATGGTATTGAGAGGATACATGATTATATTGATCATATCCAAGTTCACATGCTTGATTAATTGAATACATGCAAATAGGTTGATGAAATCTATTCTTGATATGTCTTTTTAAACACACATCTTTCAAACTTTAATCTTTGCTACAAAATCTTGTGAAGTTTATGATACCAAACAAAAACTTTTTTAAAAACCCTCACTTAAGACAATAGAAATTGTAGAACGACAGTAATATCACGATAATCCCTGTGTAGACGATAAAAACATTACCCACCTAATATAATTTCAACAATAAGCTTCTAGATCAACTCCAAATTATATGAATCGGTATAGGTCGGGTACAACGATACATCTTATGTCTGATACAAGGTATTTCATCGACCCACGACATCGAGCTTCGTCATCATACGCTCTAAAGTTCTGAAAACATTCAAATACAAGTAAACCATTGGTTTCCTATTCCAAACCTCCACATGTGTCTTAAAGTTTATTTATATGGATGGACATGTGTCGACCATGTAAGTTGTTGTAACATTGGTGTTACCCCAAAAGTTCTTTGGCAACCCATTTCCTAACAACATGCATTTTACCCTCTCCAAAATGTAAGTTGGAGAGAGTAAAATACACCAGTCTTACCATTCCAATAATAGTAGACCACTTATTTCCAGTTCCAAACCTCTATATATATCCTGAAATCTATTTCTATGGATGGGCATATGTCGACAATGTAACTTGTTGTAAAACCATTCTTACCCTTTAAAATCTTTGGTAACCCAACTCCAACCAACATGCACTTTAATTGTCATTTTTCCTATATTCAACTAGGATATTTTCCTATGGTGTGCCAACAACAATTTTATGCCTTTTTATACATTGTTTTTTACAAAAAAAATTAAACTACTCTAAAACAAACTTCAAGCCATTGTTGTTTATTCTTTTATTAACATGATTGGAACTCAAATTCCATAACTTGGTTTATTTTCCCGAAAGTCTTTAATAGTTAATGATGCATGGCAAATAATAGTGAAACCATATAAAATATACAACCCGTGCATTTTAGACCTTTTAGCCATGATCTATTCATCATGCTAAAATTCCAACACCCAAGTAGAACTCTAGTGCAATAGTCTAGATCATCAAACATACTAATGGATAACAAATTTTGCTTAAGCTCAGGAACACACCTCACATTTCTTAGAAGGAACTCACAATTATCAAATATTTTAAGTCTAATTATACTTATACCATGAACTTTACAAGTCTTATTGTTACCTTATCATACAGTTTCACCTTCTTTCAACTTTAAAGTCTCAAAATATTATTTCCTTGGGCACATGTGAAAAGAGAACATTGAGTCCATGACCTAACTTTTTTCTGTCTCCATGATCTATTTACCAATACTCTCAAAACCACACTCATATGAGGAAACTACAATTTAAATAGAATCATATTTGCCTCCTCTTGGGATAATCCTTCTTGAAGTGTTTGATTTTATGACAAGTAAATCATTTTAATATTGACTTATTGAAACCTTTATATTTGGACTTTCATATACTCTCACTCATTTCTCTTGAAATACTCAAGCCATCAATGTTTTTGCCAACCTATAAATATTCAGTCTTTCATAGATCCTTAGATATTATAGCCGATCAAACCTCCTCCAATGTGATAATGTCTTCCTTATTATAAAAAAGGGCGTCTTTGAAATGTTTAAAAAGATTTTGGTAATGATATCAACAAGAGTAGACCATTGTCCTTACCATCAAGCTTCACCTCGATATTTTGCAAGTCATCAAAGATTTTATTGAATCCTTACAATTGCTCCAAAATGAATTCTATTATCTACCATTCGAAATGAGTAGAGTTGGTGTTTCACACATGATCTATAAGTTAATGACTTGATCATATATAATGGTTTAAGCTTGACCCACATATCCTTCGCAATCTACTCCTTAGCGACTTCTCTTAGAAATTTATCTCCAAGGCACAAGACATTAATGTCATAAAACATTAATATATCCAAGACCAAGATATTTCTGGCCTTATCCACCATCTCAGTTTTCACTGCTTGTGTTAGGCACGCATACATCAATGTCTTGCTTTTCAATGCTTATGCACACCTTTGTTGAGTTAATGTTGCTTAAATCTTCTCTTTCCACAATCCGACATAGTTTTCTTCAAAAATTTTATTGATGTTCCAAATAGAATCCATGTTGCTCACTTGTAAACTTAGCCCCTTTATCCCACAGTGGGTGCCACTTGTTGTGAAAATTGATTGAATGAGTCACACCAACAATGTAGATGTGTGAGACAAAGAATAATGATAACCAAAATAAATTGCCCAAACAAAATTAATGTACCAAACAATGTTAGCAAATCCACACGAGTAAAGATAAGATAAAATACGACTACACACATAATTTGTTGATGTACCCAACTCGATCAAACTGATCTATTATGGGGGAGATGACATGCCCTTCGATCCACTATACTTTAAGAGTTGTTACAAGAGACTACAAGATGAGTTACATGAATGTAGTCTTCCAAGTTCATAAGAACATATCTTATTTTTTAACTAAGTGTTTTCTAATCTCCATTCCTCAAAACATATGAATCACACAAATTCAAGATATTTAAAATTGTTTCTCAATTGCCTTGAAAATTTTGAGTGGTCTTTCAATTCTTAAAACAATGAATCTTAAAAATTCTTATCCATTGTCTCTCTAAGTTTCTCTCATTGAAATGTCACCACATGCAAGCAAAAGTCACCGAGAACCACATTTATAAAGTCCGTGAACTTAAAAAAATCCATTTTTTTAACCGATAAGTGCGCTCGACCCACCCCTCTCACGCATGTCCACCTGCCATGCACATAACACCCACGCCCCGCGCGCACGACAATGCCGAAAATTGAAAAATTTTGCTAAATCATTTGAGATTTTAGACATATTTCTAAAAAGAAAATCACATGAAATTAAATCAATTGACTTTTAACTCCAAAATTTTCCTATTTCAACTTAGGTTCTAATTTAAAAAACATCAATGCTTTCTAAGAAATAGTCCAATAATTTGAGAAGACACTAAAGAAGTTTGTGGTAATAAATCCAAGATTCAATTCTTCCTGTTAAGATTTCTCCCTGCCCTTGACAAAACTAACAAATAACATTTGTCCACATAAAATTTTTTTTGACATAAAAAATGCATTTCTATATGTGTTTAAGTACAGGATAAACATATAATGAGGCCTCAAATTGTATTTAAGTATACAACACTATCAAGTTGAGCTTATCAACCTGTTGAATTACTTGATTTGATTGCTGTCCCAACTGTGCACAACACAATTCACATAAGAGGTAAACTGCTAAGAACAACAACCCTCCTCTCAAAACAAAAGCAATTAATTCAACTTATTGTTGACCTTTAGACCAAAGAAACTTTTTGCATTACATGCTGCTGATATAAGACAAAAATATGTACTTCACAAAAACCACTCAAACCAAGCAACAAACAAAATACATACAAAACAAAAAAGTTGAAACAACATCAACAGTTCCCATGGCTAGTGAAAGGAGCTCCTAAAGAAGTTTCATTATTTTTTTCATCTTGTCATAGCTGGTGAAATCATAGGTGGTGCCACTGTAGCTGTAACTGATCCTTGTCTTTGTCTTTCCATGTTAGCTTCCCACCCTATATAATTGTCAAAAACAAGTCAAGGGTCAAACAAAAACAAAACCATAGTATTTGAAGAAAGAAATAATTATGCACCTATGCTCAAGTCAAATCCACGGTTTTTGAGCTCTCTATATTCCTGACAAAGAGCACAAGTTTCACAACAGAAATGAACTAAGCAATCCATACAAGGTGCCTCTGGCAAGTCATATTGTGCCCTCAGTTTGGACCTATAATAACATGAATACAAACATGCAAGTCCTGTCATAGCCAGTAGTGCCCCATAAATTGTTCCATTACAAGTGCAAGCTGCATATAATAAAAATAAAAATACAAATCAACCATGATAAATAATTATTCTAACTAATTTGTTTAAATTTTATATAAAGGTTATACTTACTTGAATTGCCTTTATCTACTATCTCTGATATCAATCCAAAAGTAACACAAGGGCAGAAGCAAGTAACCAAACCTTGTAAATAGAACAAAAAATATGTCTTAACATACTATATATGGTACTGTTTTAAAGAGAGGCGAATGAATGATTCTTACAGATTCCAGGGTCATCAAGACAACGGCATAGACCAGTTGACCAGTGATGTGTTCTAGGGATGGCCCTTGAACTGTTGCTGATATATGGAGGAGGAGGAGGAGGATAAGGTTGTGGTATGCCATAACTTGGCATTTGTAGAACATAGCCATGAGGGGGATGGCTATGATTATTAGCTGCATATACATGATCATGATCGGTTTCATTCACTGTAGGATACATAGTGTTATTTGTTGAATTAGTCCTTCAACCAACACAAGGTTTTCTTTCTTATCTTAGTGTTTGTGTATATATAACTAGGAGAAACTTGTATAAGAGAGTACACCACTTCCACATTAGTATAGTTTGTAACTACTAGGAAAAACCATTTTCTGTTTGATTAGTCTTTTTTTATAAATAATACTCAGTAGTTGCAAAGTAAAGTATATATACTAGTACATCAAAGTATAAATAATTAGGGTTTGAATATCTGTATATGCACGTTTCGTTGTCATGACCAATGATTTATGGTAAACGTGGAAATTGTATAGTTTAGTAGTAAATTGCATTTCCATGCTCTTTCTTAGGAGCGAAGACCGGAGATATATTAATAATAATAATCATGTCACATGCCATATTGAGATTTGAAAATCTGACTGCAAAAGGATAGGAAGAGAAGACAATTTGCAATCACCTTGCAAGTTCCAACAGTATCTGTTCAAGATTACAAGCTGACTACAGAATAATGTATTGTTTGTAATGATGTAAGCTGAAATCAATGATTACTTGGCAACTGTAAAGCTGGTAAGGATATACAAGGTACCTTCTTAATTACAAACAGCCACTAAAGCGGAAACACGTTACATATTTAAAGTTTGAAAAAATTGAAATTTTATACTAATACTTTGAACAAACAAAGGCTTTAATTTATATGTTCAACGAGAAAAACATTATAATATATACAACATGATGGTAGAAGCATTGGTACAAAACAATGTATTAAAACACGACTCCCCTGGGTTATTGGGCCATGGAGTCTGTGGTGGCTCGCCAACATTTTATCCTGCCAACCCCACAGATCCTATGAATTTATCAATTTAATCCTTTAAACCTCATTTCACATAACCATTGGACCATTTTAAATTTTTGCAAAACCTTTGATTAGAACTGAATTTTTCAAACAGACTATCAGATATTTCAAATTTATAATCAATAAGCATCGATTTTTACCGCATTTTTAAGTTTATACGATTTTTTGTGCTGTTTTACCGATTTTTTTTAAAAATATCCGATAAAAACACATATTCTGTATGCATTTTTAACGAAATTTTCAAAAAAAACCGATAAAAGTGCATACAAAATGTGTTTTAATCAGATATTTCAAAAAATTCGATAAAACCTCATACATTATAATAGATTATTAGAAATAACCGATAAAAATGCATATATCTTTACCAATTTTTTGAAAAATTCGAAAATAATGGCATGTACCCATTTTTTTTTTAAAATTTAGAAAAATATATGCATTTTTACCTTTTTGTTTAAATCCGGAAATTGTCACAATGCTATCGGAGTTTTCAAAAACCTGATAGGTTAAATAATTGTGTTTTTTTTTCCAGTGAGGATCAGAGCAACAGATGACACGATTGCTTCTCGGTAGTGTGAGTTAGCTGAAGCTGCTACAACTACGGCTCGAGCGAGGCGAGGTGATGAGAGGACTCGCATCTCCGTACAAGGATGATAGCTTCGACCGGTTCTCACAAGAGGCGGTTGACAGTCGATCAGTTTCGTGTACCCCGTAGTACTCGACGTAGAGGATCTAAAGATTTTGTTTGATGGACCAGAGATCCTCACTATGAGATTGTTGTTGAGGATGTCCAGGAAGCAATTGAGGCTGTCATGCAGATGGTGGCAGAGTCAGATGTGCCACATCCTTCTAGGACGACTGAGGTGTCTCATCCTTATGAGATAGAGACTCCGGCTACAATTGAGGTTACTTTGAAGACAGTTACTGAGGTCCCCGTTACAAATGATATAAATGTTACTCCTATGATTGAGATAGATGTCACTACTCCGGTTGAGACAAATGTCACTGTTCCAGTTTCGACAAAGTCGTCTGTACACTCAAATGAGCATTTCCTGGATGGCCTAGTGATTATTCGTGCTCACTAGATATGTCGATCATGTGACATTCCAATTATGAAAAAAAAAGGTATGTATATAATATGCCGATGATGTGACTTTATTTATTATTCATACGTTGAAAATAACTAATGTTTTTTACCTTGTTTGTTACAGGACCGACCACCGCTGAAGATGCCCACCCATTGGAGAAAAGTTGAAGAAGTTCTCAAATGTCCTGATGCCAATGGAGGTCAAAGCGATTGTTGAAGGTTGTGGTCTCCTTTCACTGGTGAAATGTATGCTGACCATGCTCGACGGTCAACTAATGATAACCTTTGTTGAGCGATGACACATGAAGACATCTTCCTTCCATCTTCCATTTGGTGATTTGACGATTACATTGAATGATGTTTCCTCTCTATTCCATATTCCGCTGACAGGTAGTTTTTCCACTGCTCATCTCATAAGCCAGGATCTTGCATGTATGACTATTGTATAGGACTTAGGGATTACTAATTAGCAGGTGATAGAGGTGTTTAGATTTAACAGGAGTTCTCACTTTCTCCTATCTTGGTTGTGGGATATGTATGTCGTTCTAGTGCATTAGGATACGTATGAGACAACCACTAGAGTATACATGCTATATCTTGTAAGATATACTATCTTAACAAATAAGTATCATGTATATATCGATGCGAAGTACATATGGTTGTTTAGTATCCTTGAGCATTGTAGCTAGGCATGAAGGTGTGTTGTACTATCTCTTCTATATGTTGCGCTTGGAGAGGCGGTTATTTTTTAGAAGTGGTAGCTTGCCGGTTATATGAGTCTATTTTAGGTATAAAAAAATTATTATTTCTTATTATTTTAGTTCTTTTTATGACATTTTTTTGCTAGTTATATGAATTTTTCTTATTGTGTAGTGCTGGATATACGAGTATTTCTCATCCATTTATGAATGAAATATTATTTCTACCGCTGCTGGGTCTGCATCAGCTAAGATATGCAGGGGAAGGCAAGCACATTCAGAAGGTGTTACGGAGTATAAGAAGAGGATTAATACGCTGACTGTAGACGATGTCATCTGGGCACCCTATGCATACCATAGAGTCTATCATGAGTTCGATGTCACTTCATTATTTTCTGATTAACTATGATGGGAGACCTTAGTGGCTAGAAACTTACCTGAGAGGTGTCTGCATCAGTTTGGATATGTTCAGGATATCCCACAACCAGTATTTGCTATTCCATACAAGGCGCTAATAACTGGTTTATTGGTCACGTTTTAGGTTCTGCCAACGCCATTAGAGATCGTGTAGTGGGTGTTTAGTTCCCTGCGGAGTATATGGATGGGTACTTTGAGTGGTACCTTAGTGTATCACACCCTTACATCATCCCACACAGGCATCATGAAGACGATGTTGGACCTTCTCATGCTAGATCTTCTCATGTTAGATCTTCTCTTGCTGAGGTACCTTCTGATGATGTGTCGCCGCCTCCACCACCTCCACATGGTGCGGATGATGCTCAACGTCTATAAATGATAACAATCATTATAGATAACCTCATGGGTTTGGAGAACCAAGATGACGAGGTTTATACTATTGCGTCGCAGGCCTATTTAGACCTTATTGTTGTTTTTGTATTATTTGTATATTATGTGTAGTATTACTCAGACATTTGCACAAAAGTGTTTGTTAGATAACATTTTAGCACTTCCATTGATGCATGAATAACATAACTTAACATTTGACAAAGAGTTACATAACTTAGACAGACGCTTACATAACATAACAAAACAATAATAAATAAGAAAATCTAAACACTACCAGATGGTCCTAGACGTTTCAACATCTTGATTATGTCCTTGAAAGATCTATAAATTATCGCATCAAACTCGATCGATCCCTTAGTTAGCGTACAGTGATATGTTCTTCATATAACTTTCAAATCTTAATCGGTTTTCAACTTAATAAGGTTGTATTTCACCTTCCATCATTATCAATTTAGTTTGCACAAAGTCCAATCTTACTCACCTTTCTGTTCTCAGTGTCGAACAACATATTATTCAACTTGGATATCAGAAGTGCGAGACATGTAGTTCCCTCTAGAAGGTGAAACTCTACAGGAGGTTTCACCCCGTTGAAGTAAACTTCTTCCTTAAACAAAAACTAAGGCATTATTAGATGTTTTTCTTAACATTACATGACACTTATTTATAAAACTTCAGATTCATTCTTAACCACACAAAATAACCGTTGCGATTACAGCCGTACGAAACTTTCGGCAAAATCTCAACCCTTCAATTAACACTATCAGATTTTTTACTAGTCCATAAAAATTCCGATAATTGAAGGTTGTTTTGAAAAACCCGATACTTGTTAAACTACCAGATTTTTCATTTTTAATAAAAAAAGGTAAATATAAGTACTTTAAAGAAAACCGATATACTTCATAACATATCGAATTTTTTAAATATGTGATACACGAGATCTTTCATATACACTACCATATTTTTTTATTTATACATGATTTTTTAGTTGTTCTACCGGATTTTTCGTCCATATTTTTTGATTAAATTTTGGCAAAGGTAACATGGAAATTATGGAAATATCTGGGATGTCAGATCAAAGTGGAGGTGGTCAGTTAAAATCTCACCACATTGATACCTCAATGGACAAAATTTAATATATCAGATATTATCTAAGCCAAATTTCATATCTTTTTTTGTTTTTTAAAAAGACTCAATACTAATTTAATATATGTTAGATGAATTTTGAAAAACTCAACTTAGCACATTTTTATAATATTATTTTGCTTGTGCAAGATTTTTTTCTTTTCTTTTCTTTGAATTTTTAATTGCAAAATTTTGAGATATTAATTATATGTTGTTTTCTTATGGTGTTTAGATAAAGTAATTAGAAATTTTAGAAAAATTTAAATATTTGGTAAGTTATTTAATAATAAGTGTTATTATATGGTTTGACTTATTTTTAACGGAAAAATGTTTAGTTAGATATGTTGTATGTTGTTGAGACATATTGACCATGTTATCCACAAATGCATTATTGTTGAAAAGATTTATTTTTTTTCAAAATTGAATACGTCATGGATTTGTT